AAGTCTAAAACTTTTACTGTTTATTCTGTTTTGAAACTGTTAACGTGAACTCTTATTAAGTTTAAACTTAAACTGATGCCTGAGACATTTATGTCTGGAAAAGAAAAGAAAAGGGATGTAGTGTATTGACCCATCAGTGGGTTCACATGAGTACATTAACGTTATTAAGCTAGGGAGTCTTATTGCATGTTAACACGGAAGTACTATTAAACATCCAAGATGGCAGCCCAGAGCTGAGTTCAATCTGTTGTGTCTGTGTATTTTAATCCAGACCACCCACTGTCTTATTGAAGACAGGGACTGTTCATTGCCTAGGCTATTTTATTGACTATTGACACACCTTTGCCATTTACGCAAGTGAAATAGCAAATATGTGGTAATATATTATACAAATTGTTCTATCAAGTCATGTTATAAAGTGAAAAAATACGATAAAATAAGAAAGAAAATTTATCGCACTACAATGGCAGTGTGCCATCTGACATATACCTGGAGTGAATTAACCATGTGCAAAGACAACATTGTTGGTTTGCATAAGACAGCCCACACACATGCTATAGAAAGTAAAATCCTGGTATTAATAACAACATCAAACCAGAAACATAGAATGTAGATGCATGGACCTGTTTGTACAGAATACCAGTTCATCCCTCATTATTAATGTGGATCATGTTAAAAAGATCTCAAACCATTATGAGGCGAATGAAAACAAATTCGGTGTTTCCAGTATTAGGCTAAAAAATATTGGGTAGTTAAGAAGGGATTTTATTTTAGATTTGTTTTCCCAACATGTTAGTCTACATCAAATACAAACATTTTAAACAATTGTTTTTCGACATGATGATATTAATATCAACTTTTGTTCAATTTACAAAAAGGTGAATCATTTCCATAAAAATAAAATGTGGCCTTAATAACAAATGGCAACACATGTCATTGTTTCAGGTTAAGGTGAGTGACAATAACTGTTGATCGTTGGCACCATTTATGGCAGCTGGCGACAGCAAAACTTTCACTGATGTACATGTGTAAGTAGACATCAGCACAAGGAATAGGCCCCTATCAGTTTCTGCCTAATAAATGACAGTTATGTACATTCCTGCTGTGGCCATTTACCTACAATAGCAACATCACAAGCATGATAAGAGCATTTCTGATGTACACATTGCAGCTCTTGCTGTTTCTTGCATGTGACAAAAAATCAGCCCAAATCACAAGAAAATTGTAGTGGGCCAAACGATAGCCATGAAAAAGTAAGAATGGGTACAGCCATGCCAATGTGGTGAATGAAATGCAATTATTGTATGAGTTTCTGCTCAATATTATACAGTGTGTTGTAGACTATGCCGAATAATCAATGGCGTGTTCACAAATGATCATGAAGATTACTCATGATCACATACTTCATATCCATGCCCCTAGACACGGCTACATCCGAGGTCATCATTTTGCCAATGCAATTCTTGCATTCATCATTGCTGGCTGCATAGACCAGACTATTAATGTACAAGTATTTACACATATCGGCTCTAATTGTTGGCTTTAGATGGTAAATTGAGATGCATGCATCGTGACAACGGTGGACTTGCAGGACCGGTAGGTTAGATAATTGTTGCTATTCGCACCGTGCATGTGCACATCACACAAATCATATGAGTTCACAGGCCATAGGCCGAGTAAATAGCTGTCATAATTTATGTACGATGCAATGTTTGGCGATGACATGTTGCCGTAGCCGCAATGAAACGTCACGTTTATTTTGGCCATTAGATTCCCTGACTCATAATAAGCGTCTTTGGTTGATTTCTGGCACCCAAATTGATTCTCGATTCAGTCCTAATTACGCGTTTAAGAATTACCTGGTGATCCGAAATTGACCTCGCATGGAAATACTGCCGCCTACGGCGGGTCCCAGGTTCATTGCATCCAGTACAGTTGCTGGTTTTATAGATACCTATAGCTGCCAACTAGTTACGCATGTAATTAAAATACTGTGTCTATCATTGTAATTTTATCCGACAGTAAAGCAACAAAGTTTATTAGTGTTTTAGTCGATAAGGGTCTCAGGCGGCGTGTACGGTGCTTGTAAATTACATACTAGTAGTTTATTTGTTAACAAGCAGTATATATGATATTACGTGTGCGCGCGTGCGTTCATGGTGCCAATGGCGTGACGACTTTCTTTTAACTTTACACCTACCACGTGACGACAGACCTACAAAGTCACAACCCTCACTATTTTCATAATTTATATTAATATTTAATCGAACTTAAGTCAAGTTTGTGTAAATTTGGGTTAGTAAAGGAGAAGATATGGTACAATTTAATAAACCTAAGCTTCGCAAGCATTTCTATGTTAAGTCACGCGATATTCAATTTTTATTTAATTAAACTTAATTAAAACGAATCCCTATATAGGAACGCGTTTTAATCCAGTTCATATCGCATCTATATTAAATATTAATTTAACTATATTAAAAGTTAATCGAGTGCGTGTCGTCACAACGTCGGTAGAGATGATTTTAAATTAACCATCATTTTCATATCATCCCATCGATATTCTACTCTCTCTTACCTATTAAGTGTATAACTTTTAACACTACTATATATGTTTATTTTCATCCAAACTATTAAAGTTGCAAACATGTGACACAACTCTCGAAAGGTGTAACCAGCCTTCAAGAACAAACTAAGCCCCTTAACTTAGTGAGAGCAAATCTTAGTGAGAGCAAATTTTACAAATCTAGCCTTGCAATTTAGTAGTATATGAATGAATGTGAGTTATTTTTATTAAATTAAAAAACTCAGTTATATTTTGTCGTTAATCATTTTCCTTTATTTGTTATTACTTTGGTCAGTATTGTATTGCGGATGGTGCACAAAGTGTGATTGGAATAGGGTCATTATTGTAATGTAAGTAATTAAGACTTGGTTATTTCTAATTATATGGTATTATTACTAGAAGAATCAATATTATAATTTGCAATTGTAATTAAAATTGTGGACGTGCCATATTAGACTAGTTGATGTTATATAGTTCATTAGTTCATATATGCGCCACGTGGAGGGTGATCTAAGGCCATATTTATGTAAGACAAGATGAATCTAAATTACTAGTATATGAATAATTTCCTATACATGTAACCGAATAAGATGACAATAACAGTGGTGTGAAAACGATAAAACATGTTTAAAATCTGCTTATTCCATTAAATTTAGATAATTACATTCTATTCTAAACTCGTGTTCTTTGTTGTAGTTGCAGCTTATTGATATGTCATAATCCAGTCACTTAACAACAACAAAACAGTACGGCGACTATACTGTCTCTGTGAACAAGTTCATATTTTACTAAGAACGATGGTTATTTAGTTAGCCATTTTAGAAATGGTCGGTTTTATTATGAATTTCATTTCAGATAAAATAAAATAACAAATGAGCCCACCTCAAACTGACAAAACTGTGATATCTTTTCAAAGATTTCGACTTAAAATAGAGTTTAAATTCACGTTGACGTTCTCAACTTGGCGGTGGTTACCTAATGTTCTATGAACAGATGAATTACAGAGGGGCAAAAATTACTGGAAACATTAATTGTGTATAAATATTGGTCAACTAAACAATAATTGCGTTTTTATTATTTTTATTTAACAGGAATGAGTATAGTGAGCACAAAACTGGGACAAAAGAAATTTAGAATTTCATCCAATATATTAAAAGAACATCTACAAATCTTCTCAGGATGACTAGAATCAGATTATATTATCTTTTTTTAGATCTGGTATTAAGCTCAGAAAATGTCAAATCGTTTTAAATTGTTTGTCTGGTTCAGACAGCATGATCGCGCCATGATTTTTTTTCTTCAAATGACAGAAGACAACTGAACAAAAAAATTGGGTTCGAATTACAAACTTTCGTTGTGGCTAATTACTGTCATGTTGCTGCATTCCAATCAATCACAAGACATCTATTTAATTTTGGTGACGTCAATACCAGTGAACTTTGAACACCAATAAATAATATCATGCTACTGTTTTAAATATAAAATCAACATGTGAATTAGTTGAAAAATTAAGATATCGAAAAACGGGAGACGCTCACTGCTGTCATTTACAGTAAAGTTGCTATGGTAATATAATATGCATATTTGTTGTAAATTTATCAACATATTCAACAGGTCGTGTGTTGGTGGACAATCAACATTAACTTCGCGAATTAATTAATCTAATTTCATTGGTAATGAAACAAATATCAGTATATACCCTGACTTCATTAATATAATACATTGAGTTTGAATATGTACCATCGGTTGTTTTTGTCAAATTATTAAAATTTAATTAATCTCACAGAATGCAACAATGAACTAATTCTAGTCCAACATGTAGAGATCAATCATATATGACATACATAACGAGGAATTATTGTTTTGAAACGCTATAAAAGGAATCTGAATGTGCCTATCTATAAGTACAACACTGGTTATAGTCAGGTACGTGACTCAAGTTTGTTAATATACAGTTATGTGTTTGTATATTGTTTATTTTATTGTATTAGAAGTATGTGATACTGCATAGCTATTTCATTGATGGTAATTCAAAGCACTATTTTGAGATAATACTACGCTGGGTTGTAGTGTGTTGTGCTGTGTTGCGTTGCGTTGCGTTGCGTTGCATTGTACTGTATTGTGGTGTTGTGTTGTGTTTGGGAGTACCTTCTAGAATCCTATGCTTATAATATTACTTGACAAGGTATTACGTTAGCAGTTTACAAAATATCACGAGATATTTTCGAAAACCGTTTACTACAACACCAGTATTTTCGATTTTGTTGTTGTTGTAAATACGACAACCACTGCATCCGCTTTCCCATGCAGCTTAATCAATTATTCGATTCACACAAAATATGAAACACACCATATGAAAGTATTTACACTGTTTATTATTAATAGTCATTATAATGACTAGATGCTTGATCAAATCCTTCTGTTTTGCCTAATATAAGGACTTGCAAGCGTTTCTGGTTTACATGAATAACATTGTCTTCAATTGTTCATAAACAGTCATGGTGATTCTTCAAGTGTTATGCGCATGCGCCTTTCTGGGTATGTATATTATATGTATATGTATATTACAAATATTGTTACACCAAAACAAAAAGTCACACAGATATATCGTAATCAATGATTTGATTAAAAATTGCGATATTGGTATTAAATGAGTAAGACAGTTATTCATAATAATACATAATATGTATTGCTCCATAGTCAACGTAGATGCTGGGACATGGTCAGCATGGAGTGCAAATTGGGGCGATTGTCCAGTGACTTGTGGTACAGGGAAACAGACTAAAACAAGGACCTGTGACGTGGAACCTTGCGATGGAAGTGACACCAAAGAAAGAAATTGTATGAATGTCGATTGCCCATTGGAAATAGGTAAATTATAAGAAAACATGCTACGATGAACGTTTCTACCAATCTATAATGCAAGTTCATTATCAAACGACAATGTCAATTTTTCTCCTGGGGAATCTACCCATCATATTAAATATTAATTTTCTCAAATGAGTTAAGTATGCTCGTTATGCCCGCAGTAAATCCGATGTATTATGATTCCACGCGGTTCCCTGTGACGCAGAGCCTGGTGACGTGGCATCTACTCTTATGCAGTGACAACTTAATGCATTTTACACAGAGCCCGTTATTCTGGTAAATCCGTCATCATATCGTATGTATCCTATAACGTAATAAGTCGTACATTTGTTTGATATTGTGTAGATTATGATTACATGGGATGCTGGAAAACCTCAGGGTCAGTTGTTACATTGGAGAATACTGGTAACGCTTACGTGGATGCCAACGATCCAGCTAGAGTAAGTACGGCCGTGTATTCTGGATATTTTACCCGTTCTATGACTACGTTAATTAGCTCAGTCTATTAAGACATTGAGCAGGGGCGTGCAACTAAAGTTGAAAAACGTTTACACGAAACCCATGAATAAATATGTCCGAATTTATTTTGTTTGTGCTTCTGGGTATTTACAAATACATTTATTTTACTCTGTTTTTAGGGATGTGCGAGGGCGGCATATTCTGTAGGAAAAGACTATTTTGCGCTGAAAGACAATGGGGAATGCTATGCAGCATCATCACAAGCAGACTATGAAGCGGGCGGCCCAGGGGGTTCATGTCGATATGGAAAGGGGACTTCGAGTGCATTTGATGTTTATAAGATTAATCGTAAATACATACAAATATTTGATTAGTATTATAATACACATACACTCTGTAGACAAATTTCTGAATACAACAGATACATTGACATCTAGTATGGCAGCATTACTTGCCTTTGCCTTTCTATTTGCTAAACAAAGTTTTTTTTTACATATTAAGAGTGTTTTGTTTTACAGAAATATTCTCTCAAATCTTTGATTTGCCAAACGATATGATATGACATGATGCATTGCAAACCCAAAAGCCTTGCATATAAAGAGAAGATGGTAAAGTGATATAATGTGATGCCAAAACATATAAAACAACATCTTCAAATGTTCTTTTATGAATCCTTGTCACCTTAGTCACTGAGCAATACTGCATTACATTTTCTATATATTTTCATGTTGCCGAGAATTAACAAAGATATATAATTGTGCCACTTTGTGCGCTGTTAGGGGTTGTAGCAGTTAATCGTGGGATTATCTATGTGCTTTGTAGTCGATTAAATTATTCTACACATATGCAAATTTTATATCTCGCAATTACAACTAATTGTTTTTGTTACGTGTATAGCATGGGTGTGTCCAGATGGTTCTGACTACGCTGGCTTTTGTGAGATTCCCCGTGTACGGACACCAATACCTAAAGGAGTTTGCACCACGGCACATTTTTGTCACGAGGTAGGAGGTACAACAACTCAACCCGTTGCGATCTGTTGTACAAAAAGTAAGTCTTTGTGTCATTTGGGCGAATAGTGTTTATATTATAATAACATCAATTAAGTAATTAATTAATTAGAATCAATTCTACTAAACCTTTTCCGTTTTTAACAAATTCTAGATTTCTGTAAAGATCACTGTGGAGAAAAGATCATAGAGCGAGATTGTTGGTGTGACACGGCGTGTGTTGATTTTGGAGACTGCTGTGATGATTTTATGGATGACTGTTCAGGTATTATTTATTTTGCTTTCACCTACTATTTCACAGATCTCGTAGTTAGCATCATTAATATACACAATGTCGTTTTTAATATTATTGCTAAGTTTTGGATTTGAATTGTAGTGTGTTTTGTGGAGACAAATCTACTGATTAACCAATCATATGCTCTGCACCACAGGTAAAGACAGATGCTCGGCAGTCGGTGACCCGCATTACACAAGTTTTGACAACAAATACTACCACTACCAAGGAAAGTGTGAATACATAATGTTGTCTAGCAAATGTCCATTTGAATCTATGCCACTTGAAATTATTGTGAAAAATCGTGATTGGCCGTGGGTTGGGAGCACCGTAACTACGACCAAGGAAGTCCATGTGATGGTTGATGGCATAGTACGTGTTTTTAATTATTATTGGCATAAGAGAGATGACTACATTAAAGTGACTGTGTCCACAAATATTGTTATTATGTAACCGGTCAGCATACCATGAAGCTTATATTCAGTATGTGTTCAGTGTATTACTCGCAGTGATATCCCCAATTATGGAATATTTGAAGCCCAAACACTGTCTGGTGCGTCGGTTGGTTTTACCATTGCAGCATTCCATTATAAACAATGCTTTAATTGAGTTTTCATGCTTTCACTTTTACGTCATTAACTTTTCGACACCAATAAAGTTTTATTATTTTATCGCTATCGAACTGAATGTCAAAATGTTGTACAGTCGCAATGCAATATCCCCTGCCGTCTGATATTGCATGGCAATAAATTAATGCCAAATATGGTAAATAGAATGTTATTGATAAAAAGAATCCGTCATATACGAAACTAGTTGAGCGCAGATGTATTAATTGCAAAGTTTGTAATTGTCTACAGGATATACTGATGAAGCAAGGGAAACAATTGGCGATTGACGGCACCATCACAGCGGCACCTGTCGATCCTTCTCCTACCATTAGCGTAACGATAGCAGGAATTTATTTGGTAAGATTAATCTTAAAATCCATCGAGTTTGTTCAGCAATGTTGTTTATCATTATATAAATCGATTTATACTTTTCAATGTTATAGGTTGTGAGAACTGGCTATGGTATCACTGTATATTTCGACGGACAATACAGCCTTCAGGTGGACGCGTCTAATGCCCTTAAAAGTAAACTATGCGGTCTCTGTGGTAACTTCAATGGCAATATCAACGATGACTTTATGAAGCCTGATGGAACCCAGGTAAGGATTGTATTCACGTTATTCTTTCCATATTCCTGAACGCAAAATAGCAGGTGAGCTGAATGATTAGTGCCGGCATAATTCTACACAAGCTCGGGTAATTAAAAAGCCTAGACGAAACATTCCCTTTTTTCACCCATGCTGTTATGGCAAAAGTGTTTATAATGTATTTTTTTCCGTATATTACCTCCACGATGTGATCGACATTAACGTTTGATAAACTTCGATATTTTATAAAAGATGTTGTACATCAGTCAGAAATTCGCGCTGTAAATGTAACAATAATAATTATGCACGATTTAACAAATATTATATTTGCGGTTAACGACCTCGTGTCTGACTGGTGACGTGTTTCATCAAACCAACTGTTTTGTTAGAGTAGTCGGAACGAATAGTGGTTTTTACGAAATATAGTGGGAAAATATAGAAATTTTGTGCGTAAAAATCGACAATGTTAATTACCAAAGGTTGTCACAGCTCTGCTCATACCTTTTTGTCTTACGTCAGAGTCAACTAGAACAAAACAGTGTATGACGGCGCACAGTAATTTCATTTGTTTCCATGTTTGCCAACAACAAGCGCAAGTCTGACAAAAATGGACTTAAACTATATCGTGATTTGTAGTGGTAGCGTTTCCAAATAGTTGTCTTACTACCGGGGACACTTTTTTTTAGTTGCAGCAAATCACGCCATTATTTTATGTTTTGGTGCAAACATGCTCAGAACGAACGAATTTGTTCTGTATATGTGAACTCCCTAAATCAGATTCTATTTTTAAACACAACAGGCACCTAATGTTGTTGCCTTTGGAGACAGCTGGATAGCACCTAACCCAGATTGTAACCCGGCTCTGAGATCAGTGGACGAAGTGATGCCACGTCAGACAAACGACGAGGCTGTCGACCTTTGCAACGAGTTATTTAACACAGGTATACCATAAACGTTATGTTTGTACCAACATAATCAAAACTCCTTGAGTATTCTTTTGTCAAACTCTGGGTTTGAATTTCCAATCAAAAGTTGTAAAGCACTACAGTCTCTGTATCGCGTCTTGTTCGATATTCGACTCATAGCGACGTATACAACGCGTGTAAAATACCAAGTTTGTTTACACAAATTGCGAACACGGTCTGCGCGGCGACTGTAGCGCCTTAATTACGACTATTTGTGAAGGCTAAATTGTCTCAAAAATTGCAAACAAACCGAAATTTGTTAAACGAAAAAGCATTGAACTATTCTTCACAAATTTTGTAAATATGTTTTGAAATGCAAATCAACTGTTCGAGGTGACATTTTTCATTTTTGTATATAAACCAGAACCCTTATGTATTTCAGTGTTACACATTTAAATTCCAGTGCATTAAGAAAGATATAAACTTTGTTATGTATACAAAGTAAAAACAGTTTGGTTTGTAGAAATTGTGGCTGAAATGAAAATAGTATTCACAAAACATTTCAAAGCTGGTGTCAAGAAATCCATTACCAGCACTGGCAAGAAGACGCGAGTGATCACGAAAATAGATAATGTTCAAAGCTTTGTATTGATGAGTGTATTAGAGTACACACAGACTAATGATCAAAACAGAGAAAATACTTGCAGGTTGCTAGGATAAAAAGGTGTTTTGGTCCGCCAAGTCGAGTCCAATCTTTGGCTTGAATTGTCATTATTTCAAGAATTATAGGATATATTTGTACACCATTTCTACAAACACGTCTAAATATATGAACATGTACATACCTTAATATTAGTACACGACACGACAACTACGTATATGCGATTACTTAATACGTTCATATTTATTTATAAGTATCATTTTGATATCATCTCAACCAAGTAATAATTGTTATCAACATTACGGACTTTCGTGCCAGTGTCCTGTAGTGCGGTAATCAAAAAATCACTATTATAGATTTTATAGAAAGAGACGACACTAGCTTTTTACACGACAAAATATCATCTGGCCTTGTGTAGTAAATGTCTATTATACTGAGTAAGTTATTTAAACGCGACCCTTGACATTTTTTCATTCTATTATACACTACGAACAGGAAATATTCCTCAGTGTCACACAGTTGTTGACAAAACTAATCACCAAGTATCCTGCGAGATGGACATCGGTTTCTCCCTACCTGATACAACCGAGGGATGTGCTATAATTGCCGACTATGTGAAATTGTGTATCCTCGAAGGCGTAGACATCGGAGACTGGCGATCAGGCACCCAATGCGGTATGGATTATATAGTCAATTAATTAATTATTAATAATATCGTATTCAGTAAATTGAATGAAATCACCACGTATAAGTTTAAGTCAGATGTGATAGACTATTTTTGTTTTTGTGTAGAAATCGACTGTCCAATAGATGGTATGAGCTATACTCCCTGTGGTCCACTTTGCCCAGCGACATGCTTAGATCCCCATCCGTTAGGTTCATGTACTGAACAGTGTATTGAGGGGTGTTTTTGTGCAGCCGGATTTGTCTTGGATGAAGGTGGCGTATGCATCGAAGAATCTGAGTGTGGTTGCTACTATTTGAACACGCTTTACAGGGTATTTTATATTATCAAACCGTATAGATATGCATGGAATAATCAATGCTTCATAACGTTCTGCAAAATAATCAGATGAATATTATAACATGGCCGTATAATATATTAAACAGGTTTCATGTATAATTGTGTTTTTTAATTGTTTCCAATTAGCTTCATGAAGAAATGCCCAACGAAAAGTCTTGTTGTTGCAACGGTAAGTGTATGCAGTTTGTAGTCATGAGTACGATACGTAGATTTTTACCTAATATCCAAGCTCTCATGTTACACACACTAATTAAAGTGCGGGGTCTTTTATTTTATTTGTTGAAGTATTAACCACGTACGCACATTGCACCATGATTACGATTATGATCACAGTACATAACATAGGTCAGATGAACATTTCTATAAATCACGCTCATTTTTAAATTTAGTTTTATTAATGTCGAGTTTACTACACAATTATTCTGTATCTCTGGCCAGTTAATTTCATATGGCAAACAAGCAGGTATTGTATTTGTAAACTGAATTGTTCAAGTTGTTTATGTGAATACATACGTGTCGTTAGTAGAATAATAATAATAGTATGTATATACATATTCTCAATATTTGCATATTATATTTTTATTGTACATTTACAGTTACAGACAAGATTTGTGTTGGTCCACGATATTTTGAGGTAAACACGGAGAAGGTAGATTGGTTGACGGCAAAAGACACATGCGAAAACAGAGGTGGAATGCTGGCCAAGATAGACACAAAATCAGTTGATACACAAATCAGGAGATATATATCTGAATATGAATTTGATCTTAGCGTCGCTAATGGTTTCTGGTTTGGTTTAAATGATATTGACAATGAAGGAACATTTGTCTGGACCGACGGAACGGCTCTGGTTGATGGTGACTTCACCAGATGGGCGAGACGACAGCCAAACAATAATGTAGCCAAAAATCCATTAGGTCAAGATTGTGTGCAGTTATGGTGAGTACATATTAATTCAAGATGAACCTTGAGCCGGGAACAGCCACTGGTGGCGCTGTGCAGTTTCGAAATCTTTAGTGGCTCGCAAAGGTAGCAGCACTTGTTTAGTTGTTTAGGTCGTTTTTATGTATCCCACAACGCATGCGTGACTGTACCGTGGCATAGTTAGTACAAAGTGTTCGTCGATATGAATAGGGTAATGTCACATACCCGCTGTAAACTGTGGGTCACTTATCAATGTTGTTGACATTGACACATGTTGGCCACGTTTATGGGTTATATCTACACACACTTCCACTTAGTGAGAGGATACTTTGAACTTCATATTTAATTGACCCTTTCACTAGCAAAGTCTGGCATCACCACTCATACTTTCATAACTCTCACCACAAGCATCTACATTGTTTCTTCCTCAACACCAAAGTACAATTCCTTCCTTTACTATCAACATGTATTTAAATAATCCATGTCTACCTTTAATTTAGTGAACTTCGCCAATTCTGAGTTCTGGTTCCCATATTTTAATTTATAAGACTGTTCAAGTTGTTCAAGTTGATATGAATATACATCAAACTGAATTTCGTTGAACACATTTATTATGCTGCTTTAGAAGTACTCATAAAATGAATAATGTTTTGGGATTTTTTTGCCATAGAAATAGAGCATAGTGTAGAGAACAGAATAGAGCAGGAAGGTTTTTTCCTAGTAAAACTATGTTTTTAAGTTTGAGCTAACAGGGATGCGTCGGCAAGATCAGACAAGCAGCATACAATAATACGTTCATTGAAATTATACTATATAAAAAGGTGTTGATAACGAATGTCATATTAATTGCATTTAATCCTATTTTCTCAGGAAAAAGAAAGCATTTAAATGGGACGATAATAATTGTAATGAAGCTGCTGGATTTGTATGCGAATACAGTAAGTATATATTTGTATATGGATATGTTAAAACTAACCAACATTAGAAAGGTTTAAACTCATCGTACGTGCATTATACCTTATATGTAAATTATTTACACAACATTTCTAAAAGTAAATGTCATTATTTCTGTCTCATTTCAGGTTTCGCCACAGCGTGTCCATAATCACTCGTTGTAATTCAATATATGAGATGTCAAATGCACCGATAACAAAATATAAATGTTATCGCATTATTGCTAGTATATCGCCGCAAATGCATTTATCGAATTATAGTAATACATGCTTGCTTCACGTAAATATCATTCATATAATAAACTAACATTCGTGTAATAGCTTGATCTACAAGCTATGTTCTGTATTATATATGCATGTGTATTAAATTAAATAATATCATCCAATATTTTTCATTGTTTTAATTTAATCAGTTTGTTTAAAAATGAATAATTAATACTTATGCCAATAAGTGGCCCACAATTGACAGAACATGTTCAATTCATCAAGTCAAAACTCTATTACCTCGCTGTAAAATTGTAATAGCAGAACACAGCAAAACCTTAGCACTTCACGGTGAAACCCTATTGTTTAGAAGAGAATGGCGTGAATTGGATTAGGAAGACATTGTAGATAAGGTTATGTGTAACAGCTCGAATGCATTATGGGCCATGTATATGGAGATTGATTGGGAAAAATGAAGAAAAAATATTGTTTTGGTAACTGTATAATGTAAATGATTTGGAGGAAATCTGCATAAAACACTTTAAATATTCTCACCGCGGTGTAAATATTTTCATCGCGGTGTAAATATTTTCACCGCGGTTTAAATATTCTCACCGCGGTGTAAATATTTTCACCGCGGTTTAAATATTTTCACCGCGGTTTAAATTTTCTCACCGCGGTTTAAATATTCTCACCGCGGTTTAAATATTCTCACCGCGGTTTAAATATTCTCACCGCGGTGTAAATATTTTCACCGCGGTTTAAATATTCTCACCGCGGTTTAAATATTCTCACCGCGATGTAAACATTCTCACCGCGGTGAAAATACTGGTGAAAATGTCGAAAATTCAAAATAAAAGCAGAACAATTCTGGAGAAAATTTCGGAAATTCGAGAAAAAGCAGGAAAATACAAGTGAAAATGTCAAAAATTAGAAAAATCGTCAATGGCCGTAACAAGCCACCGTACCAATCAGATTTTTTTCGCAATAATTCTATTATTTCAGGGATTATTATTATCTTTTTAGTGTAAAAACAAGACATATATTAAGCAAGTCTTGCAGAAACACAATTAGAGTCATGACGTCATTTGATGGTATTTGAGGTTATTACTTCTCACAAAATTACTAATGCATGCAGAAAAGGGATTATAATGCTAGGATTGTTTTGGACAGTAAGTGATCTCGTCGGTCGCTACCAGCGATTGCCTTGTTGACTGCAGTATTTTTGTCACAACCTCATATTATGCACAAAGTTTCTTGTCGCAAACAAGACACACTCCAGAACTGCACTCCGCCTCCACGCGTTGTATGTGAGCTGTTTGTTAAATCATTGCTGATTGGACAATTTAAACGACGTCACAATTTGAACAAATAGTTCATGATTTTGTTGGAAATTCAGCGAGCATATTCTCCCACAGATTGTCATGAACAGTACTAGAAGGGAAGAAGCACGAACACAAAAAGAATAGCGTCATTCAATGTAATATTAACACAACATTACCTGCTGCCAATAGACTGCAAAGGTAGAATTTGCTGCAAAATTAAAAACTAAGAATATTTTAGTAACGACGCTCTGAATGACTATAATTGTTATTCACTTCACGTTGTGTTTTTCACATTTTATGTGTTAGTATAAGAGGCTATTTAAATATTATTCTAATGTATTGCAAAGTTGACCCAGTTTTAGCACCTTAGACGTCTGAAGGTTTCTCTCACTGACGTGACATATCTCACTGAGACATTGGAATAATGACTTTATTTAAGAAGGCTAACATAGTAAATATTCACTTATCTTTTCTATGGCTCTATTGAAAATACAATCTGAAAAAACTAAACACAATATAAATGTATGCAATCAAATTACTGTTAAAATGTCTTGAACAAAATCTTTAATGATGCAAATGACTGTTGGGCACCGGTATTCAGTCGGCTGTTTTTTAACCTGTCGTGTATGCATCAGAACCCGTCTTGGTATGTATAACATTGGACTCTGCAGATTTGCTGTTGAAATTATGTACGGAATTTGTATACGAAAACAAAATCATGAATGAAAAGACTAAATAATATTGTCATCTTTTGTATAACTTTTTCCAAACTTATTAGTTTATGCATTCCACCATAATGGCGTCTGCACGTAGGACAACTACGCATAAAACAGCTGTCGAATTTGGTTTGAATTTTGGGATCGAAATGCGAAATGTTGATAATCTAAGTACGAGCACGTTTGGCAAACAATGGTTACTACGACAGTCAGATATTATCAACACTTTGGGGTCCCTGAGGTTCGCTTGACCAACCTGCATTTGAATAGATATGAATGGACTCGAACCCACTGCCGTATTTTCTCGTTTCCAAGTGATTTATTGTACG